GATGTAGTGGAATATGTGTCTGAATTCATTGTTGCATGTAGCTCCTACAAACTGTACAAATTAAAACTGGAGTTTACCTACAAAACTAAAGCTTAAAATTATGTCCATAAGAGTTACTGAGAACAATGTCTATGGGCGATGTCATGTTGAAATCGTCTATGTTAACTGGAATGCTACGTTGGGTGCGACATCAAACCCAACTCAGAGTTCTGATTTCTGAGGTAACTGGAACACAGCACATCACACAAAACCACAGACACTGTCCCATATCTAGAGCAATAGAGGCTAGTAGGTTAAAAGGGGATTTTTTTGATCCAAAAAAAAAAAATGACTCATATAATTAAAGAAAGAGATGTTCCACTGAGAATCTCCCTTAACAATTCAATAAGGGTGTTTTCACGCGTGATAGACTGGTAGACTCGGTTCAATTTGGGACCAAAATTACTACTGTTGACGAATTTTCAGTTGGTGCAGTTCTCTTTCACACTGCACTGTGTCAAACGGTCCAAACTGGTTGAAAAACCTGTTCACCTCCTCGCCTGTGGGGGCGGTGAACCAAGAACTACTGAAGGAATTGACACAAAAACCTCAGAAGAAGACCAGCGCAACAAAATGTAAACAAAAATGGAGTAGCGTCAGATTTTAGTGGTAGTAGGATTTCTTTTTTGTCTCTGGAAAAAGACCACGAGCCATGCATTGCGTCATAGTTCGCTTCCTGCTTTTGGTCTCTGGTCCGCTTGTATCCGTACGCATTTGAACCACACCAGAGTTCACTCCAGCCGAACAGAAACCTAGGTTTTTAGGTGGACCAGAGTTCGCTTGTGCATTCACACCTCCCCAAACAAAAACTGGACTTTCTAGATAAACAAACTAGAGTTAGATTAAAGCGGACTAAACAGGGCTGGTGTGAATGCAGCTTTAGACTTTTTCAATGAGATACAATGAGCCAGACTGTGAAGAAATCCAAAGCACAAATCATCCAGAAATGAAAGCCAAAGGAGGATGGTCAGTTTCATTCATGTAACTGTGCGTGCTGTGTCGACAACCAGGGACAAACAGGCCTCCATCAACTCAGCTGGCCTTCTGTCTTTAGGTCACACACTGAGGTGATAATTAGTAGATGGCTGAAATACACAAATGAGAGGAAACCAGCTTAAAAAATATTAAATGTGCATATATAATGATATCAGGTCTGCCGCTGAACTGGACCAGGTAGGGATGATTCACCTGCACAGCTGTTTTCATTGATTGTCTTGTCAGACTGTTTCCAGCTGACACAGACAACTGAAAGTTGCTTTTATTATTATCATACAGTTTGGAGAAATCATTTTGGAGCACTGTTTTATGCTCTTAATGGACTTCTTTTTTTTTTTAACAGCAGTTGAACTTCCAGAAGAGGAAATGAACTATAAAAATTATTTTACGGCATTAAATTAGGCTAAAGTTTTTCATCAACAGCTTTTAGACAGATTAAATGTCTAAATGCTGAACTTGAGTATACATTTATAAAATGAAAGTTTTGGTAAATATTTTTCCCGAAAGATGAAGAAGACACCACAACACATCTGACATTTAATCTGTCATTTCTTGCAATTAAATATTTTATCATGCCCCTTTTTTAACATTTAGATAAGTATTTTGATGTGCTCATTTGCATTTTCATTTCCAGATTTTCAGAAGAAGTTAACTGAATTGACATTTGGAGAGACGCTGAACACACACACACACACAAAACCTCAAGGATGAACTTTATCCATCTTTCATTTTCCCCATAGTGCAACTCCTTAATATCAAAGTCTTGATGGATAAACAGATTTTAGTGTGTCCTTGAAACATTCAGACATCTAATCAGTCACAATGACCTGACTCCCAAGACTCGCTGCAAATGAAATGATAAAATGATGAAAAAAACAATCTCGTAAAAAAATAAAAACAATGTTACATACTGCAATAAACTAAAATAGGCTGGTACTCCAGCTTAAAAAAGCATCAACTCAGATAAAATGTCATTATATAGTCACAAAGTTTTAATTAAGTAATTTACAAAAAAAAACAAAGTAGAATGTATAACCTAATGTGAAGATGATGTCAGCGATTACAGAAAACGTGTTGTTGTTGCAGCTGCTGCCACTTGTTCGTACTGTGAACTACAATGCTGTAAAATGATGCAACTATTTCAAAGACTGACTGGTTACATAAAAACTCCACCAGCTGCATAAAAATGTGTGCCAGACGTACGCTGTATTACAAGTCTAAGCATAAGTCTATAACCGAGCAACGTTGAGCATTTATTCCACAACGACATATTTGCTGGTTGTATTTCTGATCGACATGAACACACATACACACACACGCACACGAACGCACTCCTCGGTTTGGAGTTTCAGCAGCCTAGAGTTACGCAGAGTGAATGTGAAGTCAGACTTTGACCAAGTGCACCTGAATTCTCACCCCGACACATGATACTGGCTCTTACTCCCTCGCTCATCTTTATCTCCTCGCCATCTTACCCCTACAACTCTCTTTTTTTTTAACAAACTCTCCTCTCCCTGTTAGCATCTTCCTTCCCTCACACTCTCTCATTAAAACAGTTCCCCGGTCCTCACCCAGGAGAGAAGAGCACAAGGGTAAAAATAGCTCTTCCTCGGCTCATTTTCCCTGACCCCCCCCCCCCCTCCAGCCTGCATACTATGCATCAAATAACAGCTTTTCCCTGTAATAACCATCATCGTATCTCACCAAGGCTCTTTTGCTATCTGATGCTACAGCAATCCCTCGCAAACACATACTTGCATCTGCCTTTTTAAAGACTTTTTTTCTTTTTTTTCACCTGGAACTGAGTTGCTGAAACACCCCGAGAGGCTGCTATCAAAAAGTCTCACACAACCCGACAGCTCGTTTGTGAGAGCTCCTTATGCAAGAGGCCGGCTCTCAGAAAATGTGATCAGCGGGATTGAAAATGTGTCCTGACTAACGTTCTGTATCAGAGAAGTTGGTAATTAGGTGCAGGCATTTAAAATGTTGTGAGTTGGAGATGCAGAAGCACAATCACATCAAACCCCCCGGCGAGATGGGAGCGTCATCCACAGCAAGGATGACAAAAGGGGGGGAATAATTTCTGTTTGCCGAACTTCAAGCAGCGGGCTTCCACCGAGACAGATGACTACGACCAATTATACCCTCCCGGTTGGACACAGATATGTTATTTAGAGATAAATCTTGGGGATCTGTGCAGCAAAAGGAAAGAATTCCATCCACACTTGCAAAATCAAACACGTATTTAAAGAATAAATGACCATCTGGCTGCAGTAAAACGCTTTTTCTGGGGTTTAGTGAATAGAGGAACAAGAAAGAAGAGGTTGAAAAAAGGGATAAAAACAGGATGGGCAGGAAAAGAAGAGACACTATCACATGCCAAAGGATATAAACAAGCTGCTTGCTGGCAAAACTGTACAAAAAACACCCTCTGAAAACCCTCCAGTGTCCCTGGATGCAAAGATAAATGATAGGACGATGCTGCAGCAGCTCCCCCAGCAGACAGTTTTCAACAACCAAAAAAATCACGTGACAGAACTGAAGCAGAACCCATTTCCCTCTCTCTTTGCTTTGTCAAAAAAAGCCAGGCATTCTGTCAGTTTCTATAAGTTATTCTTGATTGATAATCTCAGAAGGTCAATAAGGTTTTTCTTTTAAGCTTAGATGCTTTTTCATCAGTTTGCATCCAGTTTCTCAAACAGTGTGTGCAATAAACTATGGAGGAAATAGTGTAAAGGTGTAAAATCCGGATTTAAAGAGAATAGAAAATAATCCAGCATTAATCTGAGATGCATCAACCTTTACTTGATAAGCAAGTTTTTAGTTAAACTGCAGTAGGCAACTTTTATTTAAAAAAATGTTTTTGATATATTTGTTAAAACTGTCACCAAGTCCTGACAGTATAATTTGAAACAATCTGTGAAAATTGTGATCTTCTCTGTGGACTGTCAATCAAGCTCATGTAAGCGCATCCACACCCTAACCGTTGCTCTCCGCTGCAGTTCAGTTACTACCCCAGCTGTGAATGCGCATGCTAGTAAGCATGGTCAATAATGAAAGTAAGTAAACAGATTTCCTTGTCAGATGCCAGCGCAAGTACACATGGATTTAATTCTGAAAACTAAGTCAAGTTTTCTCACGTCGCAGTACGAGAGTCTGTCAATGTAGACGAAGTGGGAGAGCAACGGACAGAATAACATTTGAAATTTGAGAGGTACACTATATTATATGACACCAATCATCCCTTTTTTTTTTTTTTATAGGCAATCTTGTGCAATCACAAATTTCCACACACACTTCTCTGAGCACCGCTGGAGTTTGAAGTGAAACAGAGACACATGCAGTTTAAATCTGGTGCTAGGTCATTTCTCTGGAAATCTTGAGTTTGTAACACTCTGTGGGGGGAGTTTGAGCAGTGCATACACAAATCTGCCTGATTGACTTCGCTAAGAGCCTCTTCCTGACTTTGAGCGGTGTATTTCTGCAGATGGCTGTAGGACCACAGGGAGGAACCAGAGGAGCTGGTTTTCAGAGATCATCAGTCTCATGTTATACTGTCAGGACAAAGTCACATTTCTAACACATTTTTATAAATTTACCTACAGCAGCTTTAATTGCTCTTTGGGAAACAAGTGAAAGGTTCATAGAGAAACGTCTAAAGAGTTTCATAAAACTGCATTAAGTCATAATCTTGATGATAAGGCAGACATTGGTCTTTTAATCATACAAACCACTTCTTAATATTTTAACATTTTAGAAATGTTTGCCTTTATAAAATATAATTTGAGTTTTCATGCTATTTTGTTGCTTGGGAACATTTCTAAAATATGTGAAACACAAAATTCAAACACATTTCCAATTGCATTTCTTAACTTTAAATAGAAAACCACCAGAATCCAACATTGGCAAGTGTGTTTTGGTTTATAGCTGCCAAAAATAAATGACTAGTTTACAATTTTACTCACCATCTTTGTCGGCTCTTCTGAATATCTGTGGACAGAAGATAAGAGAGGAAAGTTAGTCGGAGAGAAAACTGTGGTGAATATTGTGCTAAATACAAATGCGTCAATTTTAAACCACTTTTTGCAGTGAATACTCATAGATTGCTACCAAAACAGTCCTAAACCACCTAGACATCAACTCCAATAGACCCCTGAAGTTGTGTTAAGCTATCTGACACTAATATGTCAGGAGAGAAAAGTTCTCTAGGATATGAGATGCTTGACTGGATTGTCATCTAGAGAATTTGGAGGCCACATCAAACCCTCAACTTACCATTCCTCAAACTATTCCTGACTGGCTTTGGTTTTGTGGTAGGTTGCTTTATACCCTGCCTGTTACCTTCCTATGCAATTTCTCTCGATTCACTATTCGCTTCACTGCACAGTCTAGGTTTTCTCCCACTGACTTGGATTCCCTCTGGTAGATTTTCTACCGAGCCAATCAGAGAACAGAAAGACAAGTTGTGAACGATGACGATAAGTTTCTGCACTGTTTTAGAATTGTAGTCTGTCTGTAGTTTTATCATCGGCAATGGAGAAAGTGAACAAAGCCATTCAGTCTGTGTTGGCCAAATATTCCAAATATCTTCCTCTTTAACCTCAGCACTTCTCGGTTGACAGTGGAAAATGGTTGTTTATAGCGCAGGCAATTTTCAAAGAGCTTCTTAGTGCGGAACTGGCGCGTTCCATACATCACGGCCAAACGTTAGAGATTAGGTAAAATTTTAAACTTAAGCAGAGTCTAAACCTCCAGGAAGCAATCGTTTCTCAGTAGCCAAGGCTTGAGACTCTCTGTATGAAGGGAAGCATGGAACAAGGGACTGGATTTACCAAGACTACGTTATTCTGTTGAAAGAGGCCACAGAGTGCAAGATATCCATTGAATCAACATGGCTCCGCATCCAGATAGATGGCAGTACTGATGGTTTCCCCAACATAACATCCCCCATAGTACCACACTCCCTCTGCCTGATTGTTTTCTAATAATGTAACTTTATACCATTTGTTCCCCTTAAAACATGTTAATTTAAAAGCAAAAATTCCAAGTTATATTCAATTCAAATTCCTGATGGTAGCTTTACAGCATGCACGAGCTGTGCAGTGCAAAGAATAACAATGTATATTCTAAGACAATTATTAACTGTACTGTGCAATTATTAACTGTTTTCTTCTAAAAACAAGTTTTCTTGAGCAGAAAGAGTTCACAAAACTGAACTGAAATAGTGTATGAATAGGTAGCTAACTAATTAGAGCTCATGAAAACAAAATATGTATGTTAGAGCTGTTTAGAAAGAGAAATACTTCATACACCAATTGGTAAACACAGGCAACTGTTATTACCTTGAAAGCCACCCAAGAGGAAATCCTTTTTATTGCAATGTTAACAGAATACTTAAATTCTACTGAGTGGAAATAAAGCCAATAAGAAAACATGTAGGTCATCAATCAACCAGTTAGTGTTTATTTTTTTTTATTTGACTCCGTCAGAAGGCCTGAAAGGAGGCAGCTGCTTATTAGCATATGAGAAACTCTTAGACTTGAAGTTCATGAGCATAAAACACTCACCAGACAAATTCACTGACCTACAGCTGACTGATTATGTACTGTGTGCGGGTGGTGCACCACATTAAGCTAATTTATAGCTTCAGCCAAGGATTCCTCCCACTGTGGATCTGAAAATGTCAGAACGGCTACTTTCATCAGTGTTTTCTGAGAGCCATATGAAGTGTACCTGCTGAGGAGTGCAGCAGAATAACGAACAGGAGGGCAGACGGAAAGACAAAGTGAGCGGCAGCAAAGGGCAAGCTAAGAAAAAGAGCAGTCGAAAATAAAATCGAGGCATCGCAACAAACCAGATCATCATTAACTGTTCCTTTAAAATAAATAAAAGGTTTCATACACATTTTCCATGTCAGAGTTCAAATTTTCAAACTCAATTTTCCAGAATTATCAGTAATTTTTAGGCCATTTTAAAAGTTCACTATGAATACATGGTTTATCTTTTACAGTGCTAAATCTTTAAACAGGAAATTTGCACAAAGTAGGGATGAAGGAAGAGAAGATGGAAGGAAGGAAGACAGGAGGAAATAAAAGAAGAACGTATTTACCTACATTGATACTTTTCAAACTTCATTTTCTTTTTCATTCTTTATCTAGACCTGAAAAATCTCAAATCAGATGTCAAACTTTTACACACTGCAGGACCATGATGGGACGTTTAAGAGTAATTTATGTTTAATCTGATGCGAATAATTCAGCTTTGTTATTTCTATTTTTTAAAGGTTTTTTGTTTAATGGCAGTAGTGGCTATAATTCAACAGTACTAGGCAGGAAGAAGAGCAGAGAGAGCAGAGGTAGACATAAAGCAAATAGTGCAGGACCAACAGCTTTGAGGACTGTAGTCTCTGCATGGTGCTCTGCCACTGAGCCATGTGGTTTAAATGTTGGGATATAAAAATATATTTTTAGTGCAGAATATTTGATGATTTAAGCTAAATTCCCAAATCATTGGGATTTCGTGGTAGATTGGGATAAAATTTTACATATTAAAATGTTTTAATCTTTGTCAAATAAGTAAATGAAGGACATTGTTCCTTATAAATTAAAGTTTTTACATACTTTGAGTCAAATCCATTTATTCAAGCATTCTGCAACCACTTGATCCATGCAGGATGAGTGGCGTAAGAAGGGGTATTACCTGAATAGTCCATCAGGGCAACACAAAGACAAACAAGTCAAACAACCACGAATACACACACACTCAGGACTTAGTGTGTGTGTAAATCAAGTAAATTAAATACTCTCACCACTCTCATGATAGTCTTTACAAAATACTAGAAAACTATTTTCTGACGCAAAACAACAACAATTAGAGTTTATATTTTGCGTCATTATTACATGGGAGCTAATTATGACACTTTGGCATCGCACAATTAGTATTTCTAAAATTAAGAGGTAGATTTTTTTCAACCACAAGGCCAAAGCGAAGCTCATTACCACTGAGCAGAGCCACACTCCAAACGACAAGCTGCTCTGCATTGTTCTGCTGCCCGGCTGCACCCCGGGGCGCACTCAGCTCCACAGAAAGCAGTCAGATCTGGAGCTGTTTAAAGGCAGAGATGCTTTGGATGGAGGGAGAAAAGTGTTGTAGTGAGGAGGTGGCATGTGTTTGTGAAAAGTTACAATGGAGACACAGAAAAACTGCAGAAAAAGACATGTAGAAATTGGAGACGGCAGCAAAAGGAAGGCAGAAGGGAAATTGATGCATCTTCTAACCCTACTAATAACAAATGCTTCTGATGAGAGAGGGATGATTGGAAGTGAGGAAAAGGGGAAAAGATGAAAGAAATTTCAGAAACAGTAAGAACGGTACGAAGGGTTAAGAAGAAGATTGAGGATAAATGCAGCCACCAAAGAAGCAGGTTTAATGAGGAGAAATGCTGCATGAAGCTGTGGGCAAACGGACCCACAAGGAAACTACTTTGGTGTGAGACTTTGCCATGATAATAATGTTGGGAGTCTATAGTATGGGAAAATGGCAGAACAATTAGCATTTCAGAAGTAAAGGTGATGCAGAAAACTGGAGAATAAATGTCACAGAATGAATTCAAACTGAGTGTCAGCAGCTGCCATGCTCAGATCAATAAAATTAAACTAAATACTGAATAAATACATTATTAAAAATTGGAAATAGCTACAACACACAAGAAAAAAGACATGAAATATTTCGGTCTGTTATGCCTCTTTAAGAGTTTCACTTTCTGAAATGAGTGACTTGAAATATTAAACTTTTTCACAGTATTGTAATGTTTTGAGATGCACCTTTAGGTTCACAATGAAAACCTAAACAGAGCAAAGTGTTTGTAGCTAGAATGTGTGTGGCTCCCAGCCAAGGAACAAATGCAGAACACTGTAATTGGAGCTCAAATCCAAGAGCTGAAAACGAGGCAGTGTTGTTAAAAAGGTCAGAATTACTTGAGGAGCAGTGAAATATATTGTGGATATATTTCACTGTAATTCCATTGCAGTCTTGTAATGTAATTACAAGACTTTTTGCAGTCTTGTAACACAAGACTGCAAAAAGTCTGTTATAAAAAGAGATGCCTCTTTTTGTGTCATGTTATTACACGTTTTTGAAGGAAAGAAATACACCGATTGTAGACTTCAACCAGCTATGAACCATAAAGTTATTTTATCTTCCTGGCAGGTTTACGCTGCACGTAGTTCCAGAGGATTAAAAAAATGGAATCAGAAAAATGTAATTTGGCTGTATTGATAAGTTCACCGGAGGTACGTCTGTGCCGTCAACATGTTTAACAACTAAATTAAAGGTTAAAATAAACATTGATGGTGGCTGCTTTGACAAAAGTGTCTGCCATTAGTTTTTTTTTTTTCTTTTCTTTGGGTTTAAGGCTAAATCATCCGAAACCGTTTGTTATTCGGGTTACTGAGTAAAAGGATGCAGGCTGAAATCAAACTGGCACTGCCTTCAGAACATGTCGGTGCGTAAGTGCGCAGCGCGCTCTGGATGTCTTCATCCACCCACCCATCCATCCGCCCCAATCTGCAGCTTCATACTCACATCCAGGATAACCGAGATGCCTCTCCGTGGCTCCGGGGCGAAGAACTGCTCCTGAGCCACGGCCACCTCCTCCTTGCTGGAGGCGTACTCCCGGCTGGAGATGTTCTTGTTGTCGCTCATTTTGGTGACGATCCAGCGGACGAGCCCGTCGATTCCACCGGGCTGGGCGCCGCTGTTTCCGGACTGCGCTGCCGTCGCGGACTCGCTGTCCTGACCGGCTACGGGTTTCGGCTGCTCGCGGCTTTCCTGGGCTCTAAGTTTGGCTTGTTCTTTGTTGAGCAGTTTGTGGACCCCGTCCCTACAGTAACGCGCTGCCTGCTCACACATCCTTTTGCTGCGGAGCGCTCATGCTGCGCTCTATGGGGGTGAGAGAGAAGCCCCCCCCCCCTCCCCCCCCCCCCCACCCATCCAACACTTCCCCTGTTACATCACCCACCCCAAAACACACCCATCCAACTGCTATATCCCACATCTTAATAAAATCAAATGTGTGTGTGTGTGGAGAACGTATTTATTGGTAATTTAAGTCACAACAAATCACTTCATCTACCCGTGAAGCAACAATAAACTCCTACGAGACTCATCTCTAAAAGCAATAACTTGAGCAGGCGGATTGCAACTGATTTGGGTATGATTAAAAGTATATTTCAAATTAATCCATTTAAAAAAAAATAAAACGTGTTTTAAATAGATTAGTTATACATAGCCTGACACGTAGCATTGCTGTCGATTCTTCTGACAATTCTGCCTTACAGCTAATAAAAGCTCCTTTCAGATGAAAGAAAATTCCTATAGAAATTAAAGTCACAAAGGCTGGACAAAGAGCAGAGACACAAAAAGTGCACCACACTAGTGTTAAGTGCATATGATGTACAGTACAGATGTCTCAGTAGTTTGAGACTCATGTATTTAAACCCCCTTCTATTAAGAGTTGGAAATATATCACTCTCTGTATTACCTAATATTCTAGTTTATTGCAATACACCTGCTAGGTCTGGTAAAAAGAAATACGTTTTTTTGTTGCCTTTTTTGTTTGTTTTTTTTATAGTTTTAAATGCGTCTAAATGTTTGCCATAATGTAAATTGGCATGACTGAAACATCCTGTTTAAGACAAAAGTTTGAGAAGCCAGCAGAAGTTCAATAACAGACTAAAATGGTTAAAAGGTGCCATCAGGAACCTTTGATAAATGTTTTAAATAAATTGCTAAATGTTAAAACTGTAAGTGCCTTACTTAATTTTGTTGGACTTTATAGTTTTAATATACTGCATGTATGCATAGCTCTTACTATATTGCAGTAACTTGTGTTTTATGCAGGAAAAGGTAAATGAACAGATAATTACTCTCAAGATAATAAACATCGATTACAATGGTCCCCATGGATTCATTAAGTTTACAAGTTGATATTAAATGTGTTTTAGTTATTTAGCAGGAATTTCTCCTCGAGATTCCATGTTTTCTGAGGATTGACTCATAATTTATTTGGTTTATACTTTTCTCAGTCATTTCTGAAGTAAATCCTTTTATCTACAAAAGTAATACCCTTTCTTTGAGAATCTTGTCCAAGAGCAACAACTGATGTACAATAAGGAATTGCTTTATCTCCGTTTTAATGTCCAATCTTATTAATATTTCTTTACTTCTGAACATCAACAGCAGGAAGTTCTTCTTCCCAAAGGGAGGATCAGAGGATTTTGCTTCATCCAGGAAACAGGAGTGTCTCCTGAACTGTCACTCCAGCTTCTCATTAGAGGTTTGTGTGTAGAGCATGTCTGATGTGACACGTCTAACCTTTAGTAATGAGAGACACCCCCAGCTCTGCCCTTTCCATTGAGTAGTGAGTCTTTGCTTCAATGTGCCGCGTGTCTAACAGAACTCAGCACTGATTTGGTTGAATTAGGTCCTGCTGTTGAGCCAATGGAGTGACCAAAAAGCAGAAAAGTCAAGTGAGGCACATTTGTTGAACCAAGGGAGTACCAGAATTCAAATCCAGTCTCTTGACATGATTGCCCCCATGTGGAAATGAGAGTGCAATAACAGGAAGAGCTTTTCTGCAACATTTATTCAGGTTTTTAAGAATATATTTTCAAACAAAATAATTAAAGCTTGTGGATACTATATTTTTGGCATCAACATTTATATTTTAGTTTCAAAAGAGTCTAACATCCCAACTCACAAGATAGAGATAACCTAATTTGAAAAAAAGAAGAAGGTTAGAACTTTATCTGCTTGGGTGTTTTCTTTATGCTTCCCTAAGAAGACTGAGGCCGCTGGCCCTTCAGGTAAAAGACCCATGAAATGTCATTGTTCCGGGCCTCTGGGTTCTGTCTCCAGACAGTCAACTTCCCAAACCATGGTCCAGGATGCCCTCCGGAAGGAACTTCAAAGGACACCATGATATTATGTGACTTTTTGGGGGGTATGTTCTCCATCTCTTTGACATTAAAGCATGGATTGTCAACCTAGAAGCAACAAAAATATCATTAAGTTACATAATTTTCACACGTGAATGCAAAAGAGAGTAAGTTGTTGACTGAAGTCAAATATGCAAAAGTTAAAGAAAATGTAGTGCTGTGTGAAGAACCTATCAAGAGTAGAGGTGTGCCAATCGATCGGCCACCAATCATTATCGGGCGATTTCCGTGAAAAAGTGTACAATCGGTGATCGTCGATCACGGTCTCTTGTTGCCGATCACACAAACTGATCACCTGTATCTCACTTCGCAGCCTGCGTGTGCAGCTCATCTTCTCTTTCCCTCACACTGCACAAGCACGCGGCAACAAATCCTAGGCGATGTCATGTGGAACTATAACGTTCTAAAAGTGAATGGGGAAGTTTGTGTGTTGCGGTGGAAAATTACCTCAGGGGTTGAAACACGTCAAAATGCGTCAACACGACAAATCTAATATATGACATTTACAAAACAAGCACTTGACGGAGTTTGGATACATCAAGGCTCACTGCAGGAAAAACAAGACATCCAGAGCGGCCAGTAAAGCAGCACACAACTACCAACACTCACTCGGAAGAGCATGATGGTCAGAAAGCTAAAAAAATAACTTGGAAAAATAATTTCAGTCAACGAGCTAGCGGTGTTAGATGCTGGTTCTGCTCTCGCTGTTGGACCGCCGATCGGTGATCGGCTGTGATCGGCCCTCATGGGTGATCGGTATCGGCAGCAAAATACCTGATCGAGCATCCCTAATCAAGAGGCAATAGAAAGTGGTCAGATGGATGTCAGAACCAAAGAGCAAATTCTCATAAGGGAGTCAAGCTGAGAGCTGTGGCAATAAAACTGGTAATTTCCATAATCTGCGAATGTTAGTGTCATCTCTGAAAGGCTTAGCCATTGTATCTAAATATTAACATGTAACCTGGACGTAGAACAAGGAGCAGCAAAGAAGACAATCCGCATGTTTTCTAATGTTTCTGTAAATCAATAATAGGGGTGAAATACAGAAGCAAACCATGTCTAAGCAGCAAATCATTTTTACTCTTACTTTGAATGGCCTCATTAATAATAAAAAATTTAATATTCTACAAATATCCAAATAATAACCAACAGAATCAGAGTTCTAGTAGCCAGCTTTCGTCCTATCAGAATCCATCCATCTATGTTACTAGAAACACAGAGATGTTGAGGGTTGATGACCTGCTCAAAGTATGTCCCTCTCGTCTATTGGGCAAACACAACACCCCTGTTAACCTTGCAGGCATTAAATCACTACACAATAAGGATGGATGGTTAGGTGAGATGGATGTTTGTGCCTGGTTTGAACAGGGCCTAAAAAAAGCCATGAGCTTAACAATGCCTGTTTGATCCCAAAGAAAACTACACACAATACAAATGAATGATTAAACAGCAGAAAGATGCCTTTTTCCAATGTGAGAGGACAAGTGGTAGAGCTATTGGATGCAGACAAAAGCTGCTGGTAGATTTTGTTGACCATCAGTGGGAAATTTCAGAATCTTTAGGTTTTTGTACAAGAAATAATGCAAAAAATAAACCAACTTTTGATTTGTTCACACACTGGATAGGGGGAACTATCTATTGTTCTACTCTTTAATCTTGTTAGGTTCTGCATGAATTTTACCTTCAAAGAGAAACCCGTGGTCTTCGGGAACACGTTTTTGAAAGGGATGGAGACGCTGCCGCCCCCTTTGATGTTGTATGGGCCCTGAGGTCTTGGGAAGGTGCAGACTCCGTGCAAAGGAAATATGTATTCACCGCCAATATCTGAGTTCAAGGTGAGCTGCCCTCTCACCTCGCCCAGCTGATGTGGCTCAAAACGAACATCCACCTTCACCTCTAAGCCTAAAGGAAAACCGGCCAAAACACTGACAGTTTTGTCCACGATAAAATCAGGACGATCACTCTGTAGGAGAGACAGAACAACACATGGTAAATGGTCTACTTATGTAGCACTACTTCTAGTCCAGAGTACTCCAGAGCACTCGACGTGTTCACACTTAGAGTGTTAAACTACATTGTAGCCATAAAGTGGCCCTTCCTGGCCAATATGAATTTCAAGCTTTATTTGAGGTTCGATTTGCTAATTCCGGTGTCACTGGTCTAACTTATTCAAGGTATACATGTGGTATAAGGAAAAAATGTGCTGCAGGTTGTCTGTCAGAAGGTATTGAACCATATGCCATTTTGCTTTGGTTGATGTGTTTAT